CTTTCTTTCGTGACAGTGACGTGTCGATTCCCTTCGAAATTCATGTCGGTTGCGATCTTAGAGAGCGCGTCGGCATGTTGATTGTCGTCCAGTCGAACATGGTCAAGCTTCCAGGTGTTTAATTGTGCCAGGGAGCTTCTCACTTTGGTGGCAAGGATTGCTAAGCTCGTCTTTGATTTCGAACGCTTCCTGCACCTGTTTGACCACCAGGAGGGAGTCAGAGAATATGTGTACATCAGACGCACCCAAGTTGGAGAGTATTTGGAGCCCGTTGATGAGGGCTTCGTATTCAGCAACATTGTTGGTTTTAATGTCTTTGAACCTTAGAGAGATTTCATGGACAACTCTGTCTGACGACTCTATGACTATATCTGCCCCCGAGGCGGTCTTGTCGGTAGCTCCGTCGGTGAAGAGGCGCCAGTCCTGACTGTGCTCCTCTGAGGGAGTAGTTTCGAGGAAGAATCCTTCAGCAATAAAATCAGCGAGGACTTGGCCCTTGATGGTCGGTCTTGAGGGGTACTCGATGTCATATTCACTGAGCTCGATTGCCCACTTGATCAATCTACATGAGGCGTTCATACCTCGCATAATGCTTTTGAGTGGGAGGTGGGATAACACTGTGACAGGGTGCTCTTGGAAGTACGGCCTTAATTTTCTGGCCGCAGAGGCCACGGCGAGGACCGCCTTTTCAACGGGCATATACCTTATTTCTGCTGGAAGAAGCACTTTGCTCACATAATAGACAGGTTGGTCAGAGCCGTCTTGCGCCCTTCTCAACAGGACTGAGCTTACGGCCTGTTCTGAGACCGCCAGGTAGAGATAAAGTCGCTCCCCGCTGACAGGGGCACTCAAGACTGGTGGGGGAGCTAAGTTGGTTTGTTAGCAATGTGAAAACCTTGTCGCATTCGGCGCCCAACTGGAGTCTGGATGACGACTTTTTTAGCATTTGGAAGAATGGAGAGCACTTGCCTGTGGACCGCGGGATGAACCTCCCAAGTGCAACCATTTTATCGTTGAACGCCTGAATCTCTTTGATCGTTCTTGGCGGCTTTAAGCTGCGTATGGCCTCTATTTGCTTTGGGTTGGCCTCTATCCCCATCTTTGTGATCATGAAGACGAGGAACTTTCCCGCTTCACCTCCAAATACGCACTTGGGTGGGTTGAGTCTTAGGTTTCTCCGTCGCAGAGTCGCGGAGGTCTCTCGTAAGTCGGATAGGTGGTCGCCGGCTGATGACTTGATATTTGCACATGTTTTCCCTTTTGTTTCTTGATCGTTTCAGCTTTCATTATCGCTTCTTTGGCTTATTTTACGCTAGGTTGTGTTCCTTTATCACATTTCAGATCCTAGCATATAAAGTGTAGCATAGGCATGAATTGAAGAAGAATGGATTTCTACCTCATTTGTGACCAGATAATCATGTAAGCTTTCCAAAAATTAAATTTATATAAGTGTGACTCGATTTTAATTTTTTAAATAGAAAATCACTTTTAAAAATCGAGCCACACATATGGCGGCTAGTTACAGTTTCCTGTCGTTTTCTTTTTCTTTGCTGGGAGAGTTGAATACGGATGTCGTGACTTTGCTCATGTGAATCCAGAAATTTTCTGTATCTCAAAACCAGTGGTACAATAGATTTACACCAGTTACACCGATCTTAATAAAACGTATGAAAAATGTAGAATATCATTAACAATAAATGAATTAATTAGGAAGAAGCAATTAAAAGAGTAAGTTCACATCTACGTAGGATTCAATGAATTAGGGACCGTTGGATTCGATTGCCGGTCGGCAAACCACTAGCACTCCTTTCGGTGGTGGCGGCAACTACAGTTGTTTCTCCTCCGATTCAATCCTACTCCATTTCTCCATCAGGCCTCCCCTCGCCGGTGATTCGACGGAACAGTCCATCAGGACCGCGACAGCACGTCTAGACGGGAGTTAGTGTAAGAAACACGAACTGTTTGGGCAGAATTTGGGGAAGGATTGAGAAGAGAATTAGGGTTAGGGATTGAGAATTGAGAGAGATTGGGGAAGAATTGGGAATTAGGGATTTCAATAATAATATGTTCGCCATTCAAAATAACAAGTTCCAGCCTTTAAATAACAAACTCCCCAGAATACCCCTCCTAGCCATTTCGCTCCTCTACCCTCCACGGCTAAGCCGGGTTTCTGGTGCAGTCGGAAACCCTCGAGACTCGCAAACACTCGTCTCCAATTAACAAGCAAAGTCTGCAAGCGCAAACTTGGAAGAAAAGTTCAGAATCCACAGAGAATGGCAACCATTGGGTTTCCTCGAGACTTGCAAACACTCGTCTCCAATTAACAAGGAAAGTCTGCAAGCGCAAACTTGGAAGAAAAGTTCGGAATCCACCGAGAATGGCAACCCTTGGTTTAATTAATCAAAAGTAAGAAGTTGGTCTCTTCTATAAAACAAAGGGTCTTCAAATAGACAACTAAGTATGAAACCTATTGGAAAACTAAGTACCGAAACCGACTAGGAAAATAACACAAAACATTAAAGAATAACAATTAAACAAATCCTCCTTCCACGCGGTTAGCTTCTTCCTCCTTCCACACGGTTAGCTTCTTCGATCAATTCCTCTAGCTGCGCTACATCAGTTTCTTACGTAGAGAGGCTTTTGCGGCATCTTGATGAGTGTAAACCTTGAATTTTGATGGAAACATGAACTTTTACATACTTTTGTCATTTTGCCGTTTTGTTATTTGTTATGAATTCTTAGATAGTATTGGGGATTATTTGTGAATTTTAATATTTGGTGTAGCATTCAATAATTAGCATATTATATAAAGAGTTAGCAAGTAAACTTTATCCCGCTAAGCAGTATATTAAACCTAATTGAGTCGTAATCTTCCTCTCTCCCTTTCTTGCCGTCCTCACCCCTTCCTTTTCCCAACTGCTACCGCAGCTCTCTCCTCTCTTCCTCTCTTCCTCTCTTCTCTAAACCTATGTTTGGCCCGGCTTTTAGAAGTGTTTTTCGGATTCAAAAGTTGAAACAAGGCCAAACCCGCTTTTGTATAACATAAAAGCAGAAGCTCCGATTTGGAGCTTCTGCGTAAAGTTGTTTTGAAAATACAAGATTATCCTTACCATATTTTAATTTTATTTCAAAAAATATCATTTTATTTCATTTATATCAATTTAAAATAAAATAAAGTATAAAATCATATTATTTAATATAAAAGAAGTCTAAAAAAGATCTTTTTGACTACATTTTATTGTTTAGAGTTATGATTCATAGTTTATATTATAAGTCCTTTATAGTCATTTTACACAACCTCTCACATTAAAAAGCACTTTTAATAAATTTTCAACCAAACACTCACCTGTTTTTTTTAAGTACTTCTCTAAAAGCTCAAGCCAGAATCTGTTTCTACAAAAGCTACCGCATGGCCAAACTGAGCCTAATTCAACTTCCCAATCCCAAATCCTTAGTTCTAATTGGGAGATCGATCCTTAATTGATCCCCTAATTTCCCATCTCTAGATAGAGCCAAATCCTTGATTCTATCAAATTTGAACGCCGACAAGAAGAGGAGGAAGAAGAAGCTGACGGAGAACATATATTTTCTTTTTCTTGTTCAACTGTTTGAAGCATTTTCATGGCAGAGGGAAGTTCTCTTTCTACAACGATCTTGATGGTTTGAATTCGCATTTTATCTGGGAGGGCACCGTGAGAGACAAGTAATCAACTAGCCCTATTTTTTTCAACAGAGACAGAAAACTATACAAGGTGGCTTCATGTGAGCCTTAACTCATTACGGCCCAAAAAGGGCAACCAGACTATAGCATAAAGCCCATGCCAGAGCAATTCAAACAGGTCATGTGCTACGATCGCAGAATGTACACACTTCGAACCTTACCTCACATGTCATTTCGTTTTTTATAATTTCCGCAACAGAAAGAAAAAAACTAAAATGAAAATGAAAACTATCATTTCCTGAGAAACAAAACCTAAAGAAAACTTGTTTAGCTGAGAATTTTGATGGATTCCGAAACTAAATTCTGAAAATGAAAAACATGTTTAGTTACTTCATTTTGTTTTATGATACTTATTACCAAAAAAAATTTCATTGAGTATCATACAAGTCTAGTCATGATTATCAAACTATCATTCAACAATAACCTACCAATGATTTAAGAACAAATGAACTAATTTAAAGTAATAGAAATTGAACACAAGCACACCCAATCATTCAACATTGTCCTCGACATGGAAATTAACAAACATCTATTTAAAATACACAATGCAATCAAACAACACACAACTATATAATTGCTAACTATTGAACTATCGACGGAGGGAGGTAGATTTGCCGACTGCATAACAGATTTATATAATTGCTAACCATTGGACTGTCGACGGAGGGGGACAGATTTGCTAGCTGCGCCTGCTGCTAATAGGGCGGACGCCTTCTTCTGGGAAACTTCAACAGAGGGAGGCATATTTTGCCAGTTGCTGCTGGAAAACCTCGATGGAGCGGGTGGCTGCGAAGGAGGGAGCTTCGACCTCTGCACCTGCTGCTGATGATGGGAAACTTTGACGGAGCGGCGATTGCGAGGGAAGGAGTTTGGCCGTTGCGCCTACTGCTGCTGCCTGCTGGGAAGCTTCGAAGGCAGCGAAAGGATCAACAGGGTGGGCGGCTGCTGTGTGCTAAGGGGGGAACTCAGTTGGGGGATGGAAAGCAGAGGGAAAAAGAAGAAAAAATGAAAGTGGCTTCTGGGGTTTGAACCACGTATCTAATTAAATGTAAGAACACGCTTTCCGCCAGGAAACAGACCGTTTCCCATGTCCCCGATTCCACAAAACGTCATTTTAACGTTTTCGCCCAGCTGCCCCATTTTTGCCAAATTATTTTATCAAACAAAGAGCGAAACAAACGAAAATGGTATCATCATTTCCCGAAACTTTATTCAGTAACAGAGAAAGGGATGAGGTTAGCACCGTGATAACTAGCAAAAAACGCTACTAAAAACAACGAAATCACTACTAACCCTTGGTTAGGACGGTGCTAACTCTTGTACAATTAGCACCGTAACCAGTCCCCACACAGAAACGATCAAATGATCAAACTAGCTAGTCAAGTAGTCATATTCCGGGAAACGAAGAACAGAAATTTTAGCATGCGAACTTCCTGCACGTAAAACTGTATGTTTCTTTGTGACAAAACTGTTCCCCTTTCAGAGGACCATACAACAATGAAATAATGCTTGACCAACTGAAGACTTAAATCCCGGCCCAGCGCCTCTTTCTGGCTGGTCGTTCGAGCTTAGTCTGGCTTGTACTAACCGACGGAACAACTCGAGGTTGAGAACAAGAAGGCGGATTAAGATCGGTAGTACTTACCTTCTCTGGAACTAAGACAGGCACCTTGAAACGCTCCCTTCGTTTCTCCATCTTGGCCAACCTCTCGAGTATCCATTGTTCATCGTACACTGCCTTGGTAGTAACGGTATTACAAGAATCAGCCTTCTCGCTTTGAGGTGCTTTAACCTTCTTCGCATTGGGTTCTCCGGTTATAATCTCGCCCTCTTCGATATCTGAGTCGTTCTTCTGCTCCTTTCCTTGGAACATAGCCCCAAGCCGTTTCATAACATCATTGTTGCCTTGAGTTTGTGGCTTCTCTTGCCTTATGTTTGCTTTTCCAGAAAGAGATGCATTCAAACGCTTCTGGTTTTTCTTCTTTGGGTTACTTTTGGGAATTTGCCTCCCTGTGGTAGGCTGTCTGCCAGATAGCTGCATAGAATATTGTCAGTGGGAAACATTATGACCGAGGTTTTAAGTTTCTGCAGATAGATTTCAAACTACTACAATGAACTTAGGGTTGTCAAGATATAAAGAGCTATAAGGTTCTCCCTTGTCATGAACAATAAGCTAGGTAAAGACAAGAAACTAATTATTTTACCTGGCCTTCAAAACATTCATTCCCCTTTGAACATCATAGAGATGATAAAGAACACAGCGTAACGGTTAGACTGGACTAGTGCATGTTCAGTAATGGCATTGAAAGCAAGGGGTGTGCAATGAATCGGTTCACTGAACCAAATCAATGTTTGGATCGAATCAAACCAGACTAAACATAATTCTGTTCGGTTTTGATTCCATAGACCCTCTTAAAACCTAAGAAAGAAGAGACCAGAAGGACTAATCAGACTGGATGCAGTTTCAGATCAACTTATGCTGTTTCAGTCCGACTCTGGACCTCACCAAAACCACGCAGACTCCTATTGAAATCCAATACAAAAGAAGCGTGTTGCCAATTGCCATAACAACTTCGAAAATGGATGCGGAAAGTACGAGATGCAGCAGCATGTAAGACAACAAAGACATTATATGGCATGGGACGAGAAAAAAAGCAGAGCATTAATACACGGAACAGACATCAAACATCTAGACCTAAATTTCCCCATGTTTACCTTCTCTTTCTGGGAAACCAAGCCAACTGGACCATTAACGTACATCCCAACCATCTTCTCACGGTCACATTTATATGTGAGATTGCTTTCGACTAAGTTGTCTGAATGTCTTTCTCTTAATATCTCATACCCACTTATATTTTCATGTCTGAGAGCTTTTCCATAACAAGAAAACCTATCAGGGTAGGATTGAACACCTCCATGCCTTGACTTAGATTCCTCTGCTTGATGAAGTCTCGATCTCCAAACAATTTTAGTCTCTGCAAGTTCATGTTGATCATCAAAACCACTGTCCAAATTCTCTTCACTGCCAAAGAGACCACCATAGGTACCAGAATCATATAGTTCCTTCCTCGGCCTAGAATAAGTCGCCATCACCTTTGAGTCAAAAGAATCATACCTTTTAGAAATATTACCATTTTGCCATCTACTGTGATTGGTTGCATAAGATCTTGTGTGAGACCTGAAGCTTGGGTCTTGATTCCTGTTGTTCCCATCCTGGTGATAGTCATTCCAATAATCTCTTTCCAGTTTTTCTTCATTCCATAGACGATCCGAATCCAGTCTAGCCTTGTCACCATGTCTAAGCCCTCTTTCACATACATTGATTTCCCTCCCTGAAAATGGACTGCACCTTCCATATTCCTCATACAATGAGCCATACCTATGTTTCCGTTGTAATTTCTCACTTATCCTTCTATCCTGACGACGTGCACTTTGATTACAATTTGCTCTGTCCCGGATATAAGTCTCACCTTCAAGACTCCGATGGCGCTTACTCTGAGGATATTCTCTATAATCAGCTTCAGCATAGCTAGCACCCCACCTTTGACCGCCATCTCCAGGAAAAGTTTCTCTGAATCTGGAGTAAGAGGAATCATTCCTTTTGGGGAAGTCTAAATCACACTCATTTTTTACTCTTTGGTCTCTTCTGTTTTCACTCCTCCATGTCCCATTTAAGAGGCTGCCATCTGTAATGTGTCTTCGGTCACTATCTGTTTGTCCTGTGTCATTACTTTTACAGTGGCCAGATGAAACGGTATCATGTAACTCGGTTCCCAAAGATGAACACCTAGATACACCATGACAACTATCTTCAGAATCACTTTCAGAGCAAGATAGAGCCAAGCTAAAGTGACTTCTATCATCGATCAGTGAGTCACTATCACTCTGATGCCGATCTGACTGACTCGACCTCCTTCCAGACTCATCCTTTGAATCTCTCTCACTTTCAACGGCTTCAGCAAGATCTGATGTTCTAGCTCGAGTTCTGCGAGGGTGATGCTCATCGGAATCAGGGATATGGTCTCTCTCACAGTTATCAAGATGATGAGACGATTCACTCATTTCCAACAATGACTTGGACGACCTAATCATATATAAGACAAATATCGATCGTTTAACTTCTGCCATTTGTAAAGAGAAACAAGGGATTTTACACAATTATACAAATCGATTAAGCCCTTCTTGCTGGCAAATATAGAAGGCAATATAACAACAGCCAAATGAATCAACCCTTGCTAAGGAAGAATACCTAGTTCCTTCTGGAGATGGAGATCCCAAAGACACTCGATCTCCACTAGCCCCACTAGAATGGCAGGCTTCCGCCACAACATCAGCACTTCTCTTGCAGGTTTTTAACCCTTTAACACCGCTACTTTTACTGCTTAAGTCCCCCTTGCTAAATGCACTTGAATTTTCATCAAATTCCTGCACCTTGATCTGGAAAATGATGAAGCAATAAGAAAAGAGCACAACACGGTTAGCATATATATGTGGATTATGGTGGCACACAGACCTATAATATGTACCTGAATAACCACATCAGAATCCCAATTCTCTGGATACTTCTGATTCATGGTGGGAAAACGTTCACCACCACTATCTTCCACCTCAATTGCTCGACCTTTTGGCTGAAACCATCAACAAGGTGTCACACGTATCAGCATATTTACATGTATTGAAATAGAGTCTTCCAGCTCGTTCCATCAACAATAGTCATAACTATGAAATGAAACAGTAGCAGATTGCATTTTGTCCAACTCAAAGAAATTATTCTACAAGTGAGGTGTCCAGAGATACTTGAGCCCCTTACTGTCCCAAAACAACTTACAAACTAACACTGAATAATCTTAGTCGAGCGATAGAAGGAAATCTTTGTATGACATAAGGAAATATGATAAGTATATGCTTAACATCCAAGCAGTATACTGAGAATTCAAGCTGGATGATCAGCCTAGAGTCTGAGCATCTCCTTCCAAATAATATTAATAATAATAGTCTGAGTGGCACGTCAAAATCACAACGTTGCATATTTTCTGATGATAAATTCAAGGGTGCAAGAAATTACCACACTCATACAGTATTGTCTCCAACAGTCTTCATTGATACCAAATTTGGGTAAAACAGACATATTAGCTCCCTGATACCCCCATCTTTTCCCTCCAAACGTGTCAGTATTTACATCATAAATGGTCCTGACACAAGTAAATGAAATCAAAATTTTCATTTATTGACACAATGACGTGCATAGCAAAGGACCCAGTAAAACTCTTGTGCTCAATATACGAACACAAACCTTCCCCAAATAATTCACTTTAGACACAATATCGAACATACACATACATGTTTGACACAAAGTTTATGAAACCTGCAACCTTCACTGACATAAACGAATTACTTGTGTGTGGAAACAGAAACATAGTCGGAATTACTAACCTATACAGTGGAAGTGAGAAACCATATCCACCATGGGATACAACTGAATTGGCAGCAGCATAAACATTAGACACTTGGTTAACATCTGCCACATTGCCTTGCAAGAACTCGCTGTACTCTAGATCCATTCTCGTTGATTGAAAAGAACGCAACGGTACAGTTCCCGAGTCACTTTGCTGCATAGTAGAACCAGGATAAGGAAACGAATAACAGAGTAATCTGCAACCCAAAAGAGTGTTCAACAAATGCAAATGAGAAGGCAAGCAAGAAAGCCTTCTTGAGAGATCCAACGGAAAAAGTTAGTCAATACCAATTCTATCCCGCCATTGCTAGAAGCTTATAGAAAAAACTCTCAAAGCTTTCATTTCAAGCGAGGTTGGGCACCTCGGGCTTTCTCATTTGTTGCTCCATGAATACCAGAGCTCAACCTTAACACCACCTCCATACAACAGTTTCTAGAATAAAAGAAAACTGAAACAAGCCATTTTGGATTTCATGCTGATCCACATAACAAATCCCTTACCAATTTCGACAGATTGGGACAGGAAGAGACGTTTCCCCCTTCTGAAATGAGTCTCGCGTTGCCAGCTTTGCTGTTACTGACCGTACCATCTACCTGGATCACAGTCTGTTGCTCCAACGGGAAGTGGAATTTGGCGGAGCTAGTCCTGGAATTAATGGCGGAAGCTGCTTGAAGTTCAACATCTGCGTATAGGTCGCCGAAGTCGTCGCCGCCGCCGCCGCCGGGGAAATCCTCCATTTGGAGCTTAAAATTAGGAAGAGCAATCGCAGGAGGAAAGAAGGATAGAGGCAGAACTGGATTGCACGAAAGAAGAACCGGGCTCCTCTAGAACCCTAGCACCATTGTTGAGCAGAGGACTGAAGTCGGCAGCGAGAGCTAAAAAAACCTGTGTACAGGAAGTTGCCAAAACCCTTTGGCTGCCCGCGCAGGCGCGCACCGCGGTAAGTATTTTGCAGAGCTCTGCACGTGGTTTACTCTCTCCGATTTCCCGATTTTTCTATCAAAAGCAAAAAGCCAAAATGGCAATGGCTCGAGCTCGACCCAATGAGCACTTTGGCCCAATTGTTTTCACTATTGTATTGGGTTGAAAGTTGAAACCTTTGAGTACGTATTTGGATCCGAGACCATCCAATTTTTTCCTTTCTTTCTGCAATTGAGCAATGGAAAGTGACAATATGTGGGATGTGGCTAGGGAAGGAAATGGAGCGCCCACATTATGGCGGTTAAATGGTAGGATTTAGAGACAGATCTTTCATATGCCGTTTCCTTTCCCTTTCTCATCCTCTCGAGCTTCCTCTTCAGACGCAGTCTCAACCTTCTCCTCCCCTTCTTCCTTTCTTTCTGTTTCCCTTCCTCCTCAGCTTTCTTCTCATAATCACCTATCCAATCCCCAGTACAGACTTCTTACTCCGTTCACAAATTTATTTGCAGTGGCTCAATTTAGGTGACCTAGGCAGATCAATAACCCATTAAGCACTCATTGCATGTTCATTCCACCGCCCTCGCTGTGGAACTGAGAGTCTTTCTCACTTCTTCTTTCTAGTTTCCTCTTTTCTACCTGCACAAAGGACTCTATCCCAATTTAGCTTTCAGACCCTACACTCCCCTCTACGCTGATTTATCGAAACAGCAAGAAGCTACTCAATTTGGCTTGTATTAACGCTGCAAGGCTTGAATTTGGTATCCTGTTTATTAGAACCTTCGGTAGGCCTTTAGCCGCCTAAATGAGATTTAATTCTCATTTTTGAAATATCTTACCGTGAGCCTACCCTCGTGAGACTAATCTTCCAATTTTCTCGTTATTCTCAGCTGGTATCAACTTAGTAAATTTCTCCTCAAGTTTACGGTTGGGAAAGAAACCAGATTTCTTATTGGAATTACTAAGTTTTAGCATATTCTCCTCGGGAATAACATATTCTTCTAATTTCATATTAGGACTAGAATCAATACCCGTGACTACGACCACAGGTACTAAAGTTGCATCAACATGATCATATGGTGGGCAGTTTAGGTGACTATAAATTGGAATCATTGTATTATTGGCAGTTTGTCGTTTTAGAGCATTGGAAGTTTGTTCATGCACCTTTGTATGTTGAGTTTCATAGTTAATTAGAATGTTCCTCTATTAATGTACATCTTTGCTATTGAGTTACACATTTTAAAGTGGAAAGTAAAAAGCAAATGCATTTTAAAAAAGAACTACTCGTAGAAATATTTGTGAAGGCATGCTTCATGCTGGGATTATGGGTATTTGGAGGGAATTTGATAAGCAGTTCCTATTTGTTCAAACTTAAATTTCGAAAAATGCAATGCTGCAATTTAATTATATTATATATGTTAAACTGGACTTGGCCTTACTGATGAGAGAACGGAAACCCAAGCTGAAATAGAAAAGAGAACAGAAAGACAAATACAAACATCACTGTTATTGTTATGCACTCGTCAAGACAACCTTTATAAACCTTACCAAACTCTCCATCTCCAAGCACTGTACCAAACCTGAAACTTATTTAATTATATTTGAAAACATTGAGCAAACCTTTTAAACTAAGGAAGAAGATCAGAAGCAGAATTCCCACAGCGAGTTCTGGATGAAGAGTGATCATACATAAATCTCGTATGTATCAAGTTCACCATGCGAGATTTGTCACCCTATATTTTTAGTTCAGCAATGGCTTCCTGAAAACCCTGAAGAGATGGAGAAAAGGCAATTTAGGACTGGAAAGCAGTTCAGTAATGGCTCTAGGAAAAACTTTGTATCCAATTCCAGTAGATGAAGTAAGCAGGAACATGTGTGTAACTAACCAATTCCATAACTCAACTCACTCTCTGAAAGGATAACATTGTTCTTCAAGTTTTGAACTTCTCAACAGTCCAACAGACCTACATATCTGCCTTTTGCAACATGTAGATTAGATAGGAACGGTTAGGAATCAAGTCAAAACCTTCAAGTAGCAAAAATAGTTCGAAGATAACAGGTATGCATTCATTGTGAGCCGAAACTGGTTGGAGCTGGAAAAGAACAGAAGGTGAAGGGACCTAAAAAAGCATTAGGTTATATTTCTACATTGGTGAAGACTGACGGGTGGTGTGAATCTACAAACCAGCATCAAGTTGGTTACTACCCTAGAAAATCACTGAACACCACACAAATATTTGCCTTCCAACAAAACTTTGTCATCCAACTCTAAAATGAAATGGAGGTGGGGGCTGGCACTATGGAGAGTTGATAACTGAATTTTGCACCAGGAGAATTTTTATCAACAGCCAACCCATCCATTCTATTCAACAAACAACAATGATAACAAAAGAGGATAAACTCGGAGGTGCAAGCACTTATTCTACTAAGTATCGTAAACAAAAGCTTTTGATTCAACTGAGACATGTGAGGTCAGGGTTGATGTACTCAGGAAAAAGTGGAAAACAACGCAGAGTGGTCACCAGCTGAACAACAGATGCAGGATATACCAAATTTCCCTCAAGTAGCACCATAACCATTAACAACACATAAAATATCAGAAATTTGCCACATGCTTCCTCTACTCATTAGCAAAACCCTAAACACACAAAGCAAACGGAGGAATGAAATGCACAATCTTTTTCTCTAAATCATAACATTAGACACTCACCCTGACACTGATTTTGTAATGCAGAGGGTGAGAGAGCTTGTACCAACGACCGAAACATTCTCGTCCAAGTGAAGATGCCTACTCAACCAACCATAAGGAGAAGGAAACCATCAGAACTTGAACTGCCTTCTTGCATAACATAAAACTCTCACCCTTACAATGATTTTGTAATGAAGAGGGTGAGAGAACTTGTACCCACGAACGAAACATTCTCGTCAAAGTGAAGCTGCCTGCTCAACCAACTATAAGGAGCAGGAAAGCATCAGAACTTGCACCGCCTTCTTGCTACAAATCCAACACAATCATTCAATACAGAAAATTACATAAGAAAGCTGCTGCAAAACCGACTATTTAGTGAACAAACTCACTAACTCACTTGGCGAGTGCTAATGCTTTGTTGGCGAGTGCAAAGATCTCGGCCATTGCCAGGTCTCTTGCCCGAGCATTGTTGTATCTCTCCTGGCAAACCCTGGTGGTGTTGTCACTCAAATGAAGTTTGCTGTTTTTGGTAGTCAATCACGGTAGGCATTGGCAAACCCAACATAGGCCTAAGTTATTAAACAAACTTCAAGATGAAGCTATATCCATGGCCTATAAAATTCAAAGAAACTTTGAGAAACAAAATGAAAAGCAATCTACCTATTAAAAAAGGTCATTGAAGCGTTGATAGCAGCAAGCATAACCGAGCAACAGCTAGCAAATAGCAGTAGCAGAATTACATCCCAACAACAACAGGGAAAGAAAACGAAGATTGTGAAAACAATAAGAAAATGAATCCATTAACAGCTGACATTAGTTGCACCGATTGACCTACTGTTTAATCAATCATCTTAAGCTCCCTGACTTTATCATTAAAACCCCCCTTTAGAACATCCAGTCAAGGCTAAACTCATGTCCAAGTCAACATCTATAATAAATTGGACCAAGACAACAGAAAGTGAATTGTAAGTATTTCTAACCACTGTACCATAAATAGAACCTAAATCTTACTATGGTTAAGACTGAGAGTTCAAAGTTCGGTGGAAAACTAAAACCTTCAATGAAGAATGAATCGGTGAGTAACTTACAACAAAAAAAGGAGGCCCTGTCGACCCGATGCTTCTGAGCAAGCATCTCAGCCGATGAACTTAATCCATCTTCTCTTTAGACACTCCATGTATGGAGGATGCGCAATTTCTGGACGGGAGCTTTGTCCGTCCATGTGAGCTTCGGAAGGACGACTTCATTCACAGGAGCAAGCTAGGCAGAAGAGGTGAGTGTCTATCATCTGAAGAAAGAAGAGGAGTTGGAGATGAATTCAATAGAAAAGGGGTGAAGTAGGTCGTTCTTCCACTAAGCAAGGGGAGTAAGGCACGGGGGTACAATGAATGGAAGGGGACGTGTTCAATAGGAGCGGAGTGGGCTGGTAGTGGTAGAGCGCGTTTACAGGAAAGGGCTGATAGGCAGTCGACATGATGAAAGGACGAAAGGACAAAGAGTGATCTGCTGCTGCAAATTTCCCGGTAGGGGTACGGAAAGGCCAGCTGTTGATTCGGCCGCAAACGGAGTCGAGGGGGCGGTGATTCGGTCGAGGCGAGTCGAAGGTGTCTGCTACTCCGCCGAGTGGGCTGGCTGCGCGAAGACCAATTCGCTTTTCCACTAATGAAAGGGTAGCACTTAGCAGGGAGAGGAAGGACAACGATTTTCCAGTGCCATGTTGAGCAGAGCGGAGTGGGTTATGAGTGTATACCGGTGATTCCGGGAAAACAACATTGTGAAGTGATGGCAGGACAAAATGAACACTATTCCTTGCAAGTAGAGGTGGCAATTGGATCGGATTCGTGGATTGGATTTGTGGATTCATGGATCAAATGGATTGGATCCAATGGATTGGTGGATTCATGGATTGGTGGATTGATCCATGAATCCAAATGACATCCAAGACTTGGACCACAATGTAAAATTTGAAAAGTTTTGGTACTAAAATGTCATAATGAAAAATTTTAGGTACCAAAATGTAATTTTCCAATGATATTTTTCGTATAAAAATATAAATTTTAGGTACCAAAATGTCAAATATAAAAAATATAGGTACCAAATCATAATTTGCCATTTGGATCCATGGATTGATCCATGAATCCACCAATCCAATTGGATTTGGATCAAATGGATTGGATTTAAATGGATTGGATTAGGTGGATAATTTGGTGGATGGATTGGATTGGATTCATGGATTTGGATCCTAATTGCCACCTCTACTTGCAAGTCTTGTGGTAAGGGCGAACTGGAGCAAGCGTACGGGAGGCATGGCTGCTGACTTAACCGGACAACGGCGGAACTGGTTTCTG